ACATAATTACCTAATGCTACCGAAAAATCAGGGCTGATGAAACAAAAAGAAAAAAAGCCCATCAAACCAGCCAATATTCCCTTCTCTCAAATCAAAAGAATACTTATATTTGTGCCTCCAAAACACTCAGTGACAATGGTTTCATTTTCTAGAAGTTTTGCAAGATTAGAATCACTTTGTTCAGGAAGTCCCCAGGCTTCCTGCCACGACACCTGCCTACTCCTCGACAGCTCCCTGCCTGGGCCACTGCCTTCTTCAAGGCTTCCAGCTCTGTGTGGGCTTGGAGATAAAGCTGCTTTTAGGACTTACAGCTTCAAGAATATATAGCTGCAGAATAGCTTCCCCTTGGGAACGGCTCTGAAGCAAGGCTGAGCTGTCTGATTAGCATTTCAAAATTCCAGAGCTCATTCCTCACAGGAACACCATCAGATCCCGAGCTGGTGAACAGCTTGTCAGGCAGCACACATCTCCAACAGCATCACCACCTGCTGATGGTCAGGGGCTGCTGTCCAGCCCCTTCCCACAGCCCTGCCTTTGCTCTTTGGGTCTCTACTGGGCTGTCTGTGCCTGCATTCCCCAACCAGCAGAATCCGGTGCTCATCTCAGAAGGAGCTTGGGTGTGTTTGTAAGGCACAAGCGTGGGCACCGGGGAAGCTTTTCATGGCTGAGCCATGCAAAATACCTTGAGAGTGGGCAATGTGATGAGAACGCCTTCCCCTTCCCTTTGCTGACTTCAGTCACAAGAGCATCAGCTGTTTTTCCAGGCACAGGAAGCATGAGCACTCTGCCTGCACAATCAGTGCCTGAGGATGGGCAGGCTCCTTTGTGCTCCCCTCCATCCTTACACACCAATGGAGCAACACAGGGCTGTCCAACACAAAGGATTCATAGCAAGGCAAAACAAATAGCAAAGGAAATGGGGCAGCTGCACATCTTTCAACTGCTGGAGAAGGACATGGATGAAATGGGGAAATTAAACACTTAAGCAGTAATTCACAAAACAATTCTGCTTTGAGACTGTACTTTAGCTTTTTGAAAATGAACTCCCAGATCTTACTGTGGTTAGGGCTGGCAGCAGTATTGCTTGGGGTCTGTCAGTGGGAGCTGATTATCTATCTGCACACTGATAGTTGCAGCTGAACTATCTGCACACTGATAGTTCAGCTGCAAATTAATTTCTATCAGCTCTTCAGAGAGAAGTTACCTGCTCCAAGGAAAGCAGAAGATAGGAAATGCTACATGTGTAGCAGGCTGAGATAGTCTGGAGCAAACCCATGGAGGCTGCAGCAATGGTGCTTTTTGTACTCTCATGTTTGTACAGCCTCAGGGGGTGGTGCTGCCTGGTGTTACTAGGAGCAACCCAAAATACCACCAAAAACATCCAGGGAAACAGATAAATAAAAAAAGTTATCTTTAAGATAAGCTAATTAATGCTTTGTAACCAGCCCATTAAAAAAAATCTGCTTAAAGTGCTTATTGATGAGGAACAACAAGCAAAAGCGTGCAGGGAAAGGACTTGGGAGAGCTCTGATGGGCTGGAGACAGGTGCAGCTTGACAAATCCACTGATCTGCCAGTCTGCCATTCCACTTGGGCAGCACAGAACAGCATCCAGTCAACAGAAATGCTCATCTCTGAGATCACACTACTCTGATAATGCTACTGTGAGTTACATGTTTGTATCTTCATAAAGAGAACCTGCTGGTGCACATCTGCAGATTTTCTTTGAGTATTGTTACAGTTTCTCTTCTGAACGCAGTCTGGGCACTGGGATGAGCCCTGTGAACATAGGAGAGCTTTACAGAGGAGGAATGCAACTAAGAATACATTTTTCTAAGTTCATTCATTGGATTTTGTTCTGGGGTAAAATCTTATGTCTTCATTAACTTCTACTGACCTTCAGTGTGTACACAAAGTGATGGCATTATAATTTCAAATACTGCTTCAATAATTTCTACTTACATACTGCAACCACCAATTAATTTCCTACAGGATCCAAATCCCAGACATCACCCCAAGTTCTAAGTTTGGAAGACCATGAAGTTCCTCTCATGTTTGGTATTTTAACCCCCAAACCTTTGCAGTCCAGGTAACACCCAACATCTCATTTCAACCAACAACCATTCATGAGGTGTCCCATGTGGTGCCTACATTTACCTCTCATCTTTAAGGCAGGAAAAGAGACAATCCTCCTTCTTCATCTACCATAAAAGCCGAACAAGGATAAGTTAGGGAGAATCCACCTTCCAGGAACTGATAATACAGGACTGCACCTGACAGGATCCTGACCACACTCAAGTCTGTGTTTTGGCAGACACACATTCAGCCATGCTGGACTGAAACAAAGCCTGACTCCAGCTGGATTTGCTAAGGCATCCTTGCTGGTTGCTATGGCATGTGTACTCTTATAAATGTTTAGTTCTGGCTGATAATTTTTTAAAGGATTGGCTTACTTTGTGTAACATAAGCTATCAGCCAGTAGAAATAAGCTGTTTTTTCCACCGGCTCTTCCTCCTTTCTGAAATGGGTGACATTTATCTTTGCTGTCCAGTCTTGGACTGTCCTACACTTCTCTTTGCATGTTTTTGTGCTTCTGCACAGAATAGGATTTTAAATGGTTGAGAGTAGCCCATGCAGTAATCCATTTCTATTTGTTAAACTCATCACTTCTGTACAGCAAATAGAGTCCTCTTGAGATGTGTGACTTTGCTATAAAAAGTAAATGCTTTAAAAAGTATAAAATTACATATGATCCATGCAGTTTTGCTTGTAGGTATTTTCAATAAAATGATTATACAGACCACCAAACAGATTTCGTGGATTTCCCTGAAGTGGCATTGAACCCCACTTGAATTCAAGTGGGCTGCATCCTGCTAAAAACTGTAATTTTTTTTTTTTTTTTTAGTAGAAACCCACTCTGAAAACCAATGGCCTCATGTGGATCCTGGTTTACTGTGCCTCATTGTTTCCATATTAAAATGACTCAGTTCAGAAGCAAAAATTTTTTTAAAGCACTGTAAGACCACATAAACTTGGCCAAACTCCCACCACTCAAGCCTGAGCTCCCCTACATTGGTACATTAGCACTGTTCTGTGTCTGTGCACCTCCAATATTTCCCTGAAATGCCCAGATCTGGGCAGCTCCTGGCTCTGATGGCTGCACAGCCTCAGCTGTGGGAGCAGGCAGACACTGCTGCAGCCTCACCCCACCCCAAATCCCTGCTGGCACTTCAGCAAGCATGGTCGTACAACATGGGATTTTAAAACACAAATAAGACCATAGAAATTACTGGAAGCTACCAACACTGAGGTGAAACCTCACACAAGACAGAAAGCCCTAATTATAGTTTCTGAACCTATGAAGTCATCTAATACACATATGCTCCTTATGCTGCAAGGAGGAGAATGGACGCATGCAGTACTTATTACCATCCTCATAAGCAGGAAAGAAAACCAGATTTTGGAAGCTTTTGGAAACCCATGATTTTGAAAAATCTGCATAAACCCAGAAAATCAGCTTCAGTTAAAAGAAAAAATAAGGCAGTACAAAATAATAAGCATTTTGGATTTAATTGTAAAAGCAACAATATTAATTCCACAGTGCCATGCAGCATTGCAAGCCTTCATACTGTTTATTTTTATTCTTTTTCTGGATCAAAGTTACCTAACATCAATCTGCAAAATATTTGGTATCTCTCCTAAATGCCCAAATGGAGGAATCTTAGGCAAGGAATAAAGATGGAACACTTACTGATTCAAGTGTAATCAAAAACATACTATCAGAAAACCAAAATCAAGCCTCCTCTTCCTCTCCTAGCACTGTACACCCTGTATCAAAATCAAGAGCAGTAAAATGTACTAACAATCTTCACTCACAAGTGGAGGACATGGCTGTAATCCTGTATTCTTAGTAGAGGGAAAATACTGAGAAAGGAAATGCCATTTTTGCATAATCATGTCTTAAAACAGAGCTGCACTCTCTAATGCATCCTGGACAGTGCAGACTGTAATGGTAACAACAAAGTATTGCATTCAAATAGTTATGGGGAAGAATTTAAAAATATTTCAATCTTATGTGGCTAGAAATGATTTTAAATATTACATCACTTTGCAGTTCTGAGATAAAAAGCCTTCTTATTTGCTTGAGACAAGACTTCAGAAAGCTTTAGACAGAGCAGATTTTCTTAAATTAGCTTGAAAATTCAGTTTCCAGGGCAACGTAAGCAGGTCTTCATACATCAACATCTCTTTGCACCATTTTTATAAATACGCTTTGCTAGAATGTCATAAAATACTTTTTAAATACAGCAAACTATTTGGATCACTTTGATCCTTTTCTCTGCCTTTGAAAGAAAGCCGACTGTCTCCTTTCCTTTCAGAAGAACCTTATCAATAAAACTGTCCAACTGTTTTCCTTTGGAGAGGCTTTATCCAGCAATGCCTGCAGTGATACCCATGCGTGTAATACATTTCTACCAGCACCTGAGTGTTTATGTAACATTTCACTAGGCATCCCTTATTCATCATCCCTTTTCAGTCTGCAAGTAGGAGATGTGATTTAGACTCTGTGGCATGCTGGGACTCAGCTGGTTTATATATACAATTAGCCTGAATGTCTGTTTCACAGAAGCAATGTGGAATTTGCTGGGGTCCACCTTGCACATCAAGATCCCCAATGACTTTCTCACACCTACCAATACATGGAATGGTATCAAAGAAATAAAGGTAACTATGCATCTGTCCATTTTCTCCTCCATTCTAAAAGGGTGGGGGGGAAAAAAATCTCTTAATGATAGTGATTGTCTCCTCCCTGCGAGTGCTGGAGGGGTGCTGTGCATTGCCCCAGTGAGTCAATAAACAGACACCTGAAACAGCAGCAGCAGAGTGGATACATCTCCTCCTTCCACTGAGCAGGGAGCAGACTGACCCTGGCCCCGGCTGCACATTACAGAGTTACAAGGGGAGGAATGACTCAGGAAAAGAACACTGAGTGACTGTTACCTGCACATTTTACTCCCTGAGCAATGAGGCCCCACATGAAGTTGGCACAGTATTCACACCAGTGCGGGCCCCTGAACGTGTGCACCTGGAAGACAGCAGCAGAAAGAGAATTACAGAAAATGAGCCACCGTTTCACAGACATCAGCATCAATGCATGTAAACAGTGCAGAACTCCTCTTCTTTGAAGGCAACACACGCAGTTTCTGGAAGGTTCCCTTTATCACTGCAGGAAAGGAAGAAAGGAACGAAGAAAGATTTAACACCCAAGGCTCTTGCAGACCTGTGGAAAACCAGAGTCCTCCATTCTGAGCCATCCCAAGCAGCAGAACTGGGTCTGTGGGGTCTGCTCCAAGACAAGGCATAGCCCTTCTCCCAGCTCTTGGCATCCCTCTGTTTGGCAGGAGTCTGGCCACAAGGCAAAGCTTTTGCAGCAACTGTGCAAGAGTTCACTTTTCAATCTCAAACGCTTTCTGCTGTGGCCTCCTCTTCATAAGGCACTGTGTGAAATGGGTAGAGGGCTGCAAGATTCCACCTCACATGGAAAGAGTCCTGCCAGGCAAAAATACCAGTGCCACACAGAAATACTGTACATTTGCCTAGAGACTTTCCAGTTTAGAACACCTCCAACAGGAAATTAATTTTCTTCAGACTAATGCTACATATTGAAAACCCAAAATGAAAAAGAATAATCCACTGAACCAGGAAAAAATTCAAAGCTAAAGAAGAAAAAAAACCCCTAGGCTTGCTTTCATTCCTGACTCACATGCTTGTTACAAATCCTGCAGCCACCATTAACTGCTTCTGATTTCATTCTGATAAAGCTTCTGCTGTAGGAAACCACAGGATTCTTTACAGAGAAAATCATTACTTCCTTAGCCAGTGTAAAAGGCTTTGAGCTGCTATTTAGAATAGACAGGCTGAAAATAAAATTAGTAGCTGATGATCATAAAGAAATGAAATTTGCAGTGAAATACAGCAAAACTGCTTTAGGCTGGAGTCACTCAGCTCCTCAGAGCTGCTGAGTGGGTGTGGGAACAGGCAGTAACCTCACGTGTGTGCAGTGCCTGGTGGGATCAGTGTGGAGCAGGAGGGAGAAGGAGCTGGGGAAAATGTTTGTTCCTGACATCTGCACACAGCTCTGGCTACGAACACTGAAAGAAAGGCAAAGTGGCCTGACTGAGGTGGCAAGTGTCCCCCATGCCACGGATGTAAGGGGCAGCTGGATCCAGCTGACACCCTCACAATGACACTGCAGAGCAGCACCCTGCAATTCAGTCACAGGAAGGTCTGCAGCGTCCTGGGCACCCTCAGAGCAGCAGACATTGCTGAGACACTCTGGAAAGCTCCTGCTGAATTCACCGAGTAATTCACAAGCACATCTGTGCCAGGTGACTCCTGACTGCCTGCTCCAAGCAAGCCCAGGTGCCCTGCCCTGCCTGTCCCCACCCACCCACCTGCCTCTGGAAGGGGACATGTGCTCCACCAGGCCTCTTCTCCCTGCAGCTCTGGCTGGCTTCCACAAAGCAAACGATGACAAGACTGTCAGCAGCTGTACTCTCCATTTTCTTTTTTCCTCTCACCACAAAGAGATTTTTCACACCATTCACTTGGTTACCCACCTGCACTACCCACATCATTTTGACTTTCTTCCGCAGACTGGTGGTTTTTATCCACGTTTTTGGCAGTGTTCTCTTCCCAGAATAAGAACATTCTAATATCCTGAAGCAAAGCATTGTGCTTTCATGCCTGCAGGACTAACAGAACTTTTTCAGAGAAAAAAAGAAGGCATAATTTGGGTCTCCCTTTTTTTTTTTTTTTTTGGGTCAAATTCCCCCTGAAACATACTTCTTTAAAATACTTCTTAAAAATCCCATTGAAGAAAATTGAAGCAAAATTGACATTTCACAAGTGTGGACAACAAAGAATTTCTTTTCACAATATTTTTCAGTTTTTTAAGTTGTTTTGTTTTCAGTATCTCTGGTTGCACAAAGGAGGGGAATTTTGTTTTGTTCCTTAAAATGCTGACGGATACATTATTAGTTCTTTCTAAATAAAAAGAATTATATTATCCTACCTTGTGCCTCTGTGGTTGCTGATTTCGATTCATCAAACATCAGATCACTGAATGTTCTATTTGCTGAAGCATTTCCAATGCTGTCCTTAGGTGCTGGAGTCCCAGCTTGGCTTTTCCACAGCCACCCCCAGTGTTGATACTCACTAAACCTCAGATGTCCTGTCTCTAACTGGCTGTTTTAGCAATGACCATTCTTCCTTCTTGGCATCTTGCTCCCCACCACTGCCTGCATGTTTCCATCTCCTCCTGATTCTCCTTAGAAACTCTTCTGCAGGGTCTATCACATCCCAAATCTGCCATTCCAACCTTTTCCTTCCATTTTAAATATTATGAACTTTTCTAATGAGCTCAGTTTCTCTTACATTAAGTAACTATGATTCACCTAGAATGTACCACAGCCAGCTCCCCTGGTATCACCCTGGCTTTCAGCCTGCTCCTCACAAGAGTTTACATGACTCATCATCAACTTAAAAATGACAAGGACAAGGTGGACTCTCCTCTTCCCTACCGACAAACACTGCTTGTGCTGGTTGGACTGACTTTGCCCTTCAGAACCACTGCCTCAGCAGCTTAAGCACTTCTGTCTCATCCCATGCAGCCAGGCTTCATGCAAATACTGAAATGCCTTTCCATATCATCAGCTGGATTTACCCAGAGGCTGCTCTGCTCTGTGCTGCCCCATCCAAATTACTATTTCTTATCCATTATTCTGATTGCAAACTCAAAGCAGATTAAAAGGTGAGGGTAGGTTTTTCTGTGTCCCATGATGCTCTGCCTTGCTTCATCCTTATGAGATGGGAGGTTCTCTGGCAATATTAAACAGGAGGCCCAAAGGTCACCATGTCCTTCCAGCCCTGGTGTAAACAGCCCTACAAGACCAGCTCTGAAGCCTCTGCTTCTGAGGGATTTCTGAGCAGAGCTTTCTTTTCCCAGAGCATCAATATTCCCACTTCTGTGCAGTGGAATTGGACACCTAACCCTGCCCTGCTCTGAATACACACCCTCCCTGGGAATTAAATCAGACACAGTCAGTGATGCCAGGAAATAGTGAAAAATTGGTCTTCTGAGGTAGGTCAGAACAGCCTCCAATACTAGTTAGAGAATGGGTGGGGTCTGGCAACTAAAAAGAAACACCTTAGCATCCCTTTGCTAGTTCAAGAGCCAGCACCTGCAAACAATACTGCATTTATCACATGACACTGTTTAACACAGCATTCTGATTTTATATTTAATTCCCAGTTCTAAAAACTAGCCAAGCAACTTGTCTGTTTTCAAAACTAAAAGATGATTTCCAGAAAAATTGCTAAAAACACACCCAGCAGAGTCCCAGAGATCCTGACTTAAATTACAAGGGGTTGCTTTCCCCTTGTAAAAAAGAGCATCTGCAATATGCAGATTTTACTGTCTTATAAAATGTGAGAGAACAGGATTGCCAACTGTGCCTTTACATCTCCCAATCCTTCCATTCTCACTCCCACCCAATAATCTCCTTTTCTCTCTTTCCAAATGGGAATAATTTTGTAAAAGAATCTGGGAAATGACTGAGTGGGAGAGCAAATTAAACTGGTTTTAATCTTGATTTTCTTCTCTTGGAATTTTACAAGTTAATTTAAAACAAAAGTCTAGATAATTTTAAAGACAAATATCTGCTTCAGAAGCTATATAAAATACTATTACTAAGCTGTCCTGCAAGTCTGAGGTAAGAAGAGAGCCTCATGTTAGGTTTATACCCTAGGCATTTCTATTTAGAACTCTCCTGCACTATCAACAAGGCATAATAAACATGTTACTACTGTGAACTATGTAGCAGAAGCTTTTTGCTCAGCCTTAAAAAGTATTTTCTTAACACAAGGAAAAATAGCTCAATTCTTGTGATTAACAACTCTGAGTATTAAAAAATGTTACTTTGTTTTGTATTTAAAGTTTTTTTTAAAGGATAAAATTTTAGGAGAACCAAATAAAAAATCAGGCAGTGACTCTGACAGCAGATTCTACCACAAGCTGTGAACTCCTCAAGCAGATCTCCCCCCATTATTTCTCAGCTCTATAAAGGTCACTGGTGAAGTTAGTTACCCGTGCATCTTGTTACTCCACTTATTTTTTATGCTTTTGGTTTTTCCAAGGCAGTTATTCAGCCACCCTTGATTGCTACATGAAGATCAGGAATAAGGCAGCAGATAATGTTTATTCTTAACTGGGAGACTTACATTTTATCACAGCAAGGCAGGGAGGAAGAGAATGAGAGAGTATCAGTGAAGAGCTGTGCAAATGTGATATGAGGGAAGATGGTGGATCAACAGAGCTCTAGCAAAGCCACTGACAGGAAGAAAATAGGGCTGGACTTGAAAAGCTATAGTTATAGAAAACCAACACTGGGCACATATAACAGAAATGTTTGGGACAGTCTGGACAAAAAAAGCCTCCTTTGTTGAGGGCTGCTGCCACGGCCCCACTGAACACTTGTTCCATCAGACCCTGCTCCCTACAGAGCACCCCTTCCACAGCCCTCCACACCAAACTGCTGCTCAGAGTGATAGGGTCTGGAAAATCCAGGCATTACCATCTGCTGTGGGATGGGATACATTACCTTGGAAAAGGATGGGAAAAATACTGCTGATCTGTACTCCTGGGCTACCAGAGCTTTACACTTCAGGCAGAAGCCTTGTCAGGGCTCAGAGCGCACCAGGGACTGAACACGTGTCACAGCCCAGCATTAGCACCACATGGTACTCCAAAGGTTCAGGTCTGCTGGCTATACTGTCCTTCAAACAAATTCCCAAGGATGATGAGACACTGCTGATGGTGACTGTCAGCTCAGTGGTCCTAACTGATTTGCAATTCCATCAGCTGAATTCTGCCTACTGGGGCTTTACCAAGCTTTAAACTGAACGTGGGAGACATTGTAGATCCCAATTAGAACGATGAACTCAGCCTGTATTATTAACATCTGTTTTCCCTGTCACAGCTGATTTTATCAGGCACTGAGCACACCCATGCTGGCATCCAATAGG